CAGCACTGAGGTAGTGCATGTTACCGACATAAAACAATATTGCATCATTTTATTACAGAGATCATAATTTCAGAGAACTTGAAAAATTCGCAAAGCAGTTTAATATGTAGCTAAAAAAAGCCAGGAAGTTTAAGCATGGAATGTATGAATTTGAGTTTTATAAAAAGAACTTAGGCTACGCTGTTGGTCAAAGACTAAAACAGTTTAGAAAACAGTTGTAGAAATGTCCTATGCGCAAAGCAAATCAATAGGTACTTAGGAAAAACGCCAGAGTGCATCTTATGCAACAAGCAAAATATTGGAATATTTGAAAACTTTCATCATATAGTACAATAGTCTCAGGAATGATATGAATTGACTAACGTCAAGTGTAAGCATGATTTTCGAACAGTTTGGTCAACTATGATGACAGTGTCGTGCAAACTCATATGAACATTTTTCGTACCATTTCCATGGCAACCATAAACATTTTATTCGAACTATATGAAAGCTTCTTGTTTTCTCCTTCAAATTTCAGACACCGAGGTAAAGCTTGGAGAAGGTGAGCTTTCTTCTTATTCAAACATTGTACACACAGTCCGATAGCCTTCAATGGTTGGCTTGAGTTAGCCAGTGTGATGTCTTGAAAGTAAATAATTAACACTACTCTGAAACTCAAGTGTGGTCTACAAAATGTGGAATGTTTCGTTTAGAAATACTTAAAACGAATGCGAGAGAAGTGCGTGGAAAAATACCTCGTGCTACACACATTCTTCATTATCCAGCTCATGCCTGAGTTTCACTTAACCTTATCACCATTGGACCTGTGGGATAACAGAATACTAATTTGTGCCACATCTTGTTTTTAATGAAGTCATTCACGAATACATCTCACAGAATAATTTTATTTACACATCTGTAGCATGCTTACACATTCTGTGTTACTTTTCACTCTTCAGGGTGTAATAACACACTCGATTGCACATGCTTCTTCGAATTCATTCACCAACATCTAGGTTACCACCCAACATGCAGCTTACATCAACAACAGTTCCAAACTGGGTTTACCCTCAATACTATCACTGCAAGATGAAATTTCCCACATGTGAGATTGTGTCCACTGCTAATGGTAATTTAATACACCTCACTGATCAACGACAGCATGTAAAAGTGTTGATGTCCTAATCTTCCTATTAATAGACTCGTCACTCCTACCTTAAATGAAGCAGACTGCAAAGTCGCACCACTCATTTCACTGGCCAAATTGTACATCCGATTGATGAACTTTTATCTTTTGGAATCCAAGAAATTCACAGGTCACCAATCGATACCGAATTCCCCTTGACCCTTGAAGCATGGAGTGACTGATGTTGGAAACAAATCATGCATATATCCACCAAGAATGTTTCGATGCATCAGTTGTTGTTCAACACAGTAATCCGACATCTTAAAAGAGTATTTCCACTTCTTAACTGGTGATCCGAAACAAATTGCCTAATTGGGAAAGTTAACATAATTTCTCTTAAATTTCCAGTTTCAAAGAAAGGATTCAAAATGAGTGGGTTTGTGTTTCTGAACTCTTGAAAGCAAAGTGATAAGGCTTGTTATCAAGAAAGCAATGACATGCAAATCGTGAATAATGGTTTGATTAGATATGGAGTCATCAAATGAGAAAGTGTTGAGATTCATGTGGCAAATAATTCCAGTTACATTAGTTTCTAGATGTGCTAGTGATCAATATTATTAGTGAGAAAATCACTACCTTGTCTCCGTGGTAGAAAATATTACCACGTTACTTGGATCGCGTATTCCTGAACGAGAATATCGTAGCAATCTCATGATGCTTAGACCTAATCAAAGAGGTTTATTCCTAATCAGACAGTATTCGTGAGGATTCTGTAGGTTTGAGAGCAGTTCTCATTACTGTTCCATTTCTTGATGTCTACAATTTTATATTCATTCCTGACTATCCTGATAACTGTGGTTCCACTTCTTCTCAGTCATGTGAATATTCATAAATTTCTGCAAACCGTGGTGACAAACGTTTGTCTGAGTTGAGTATCGGACAGAGTGAAGAATACTGTAGACTGTGATTAGTGGATTTCGAGAGTCAGAGTTATGCGAGGGATTTGGTGAATATACCTAACTCATGCAATCGAACGTGTCAGTGGTGGCGACTACGTGGATGACAAAAGGTTCAAATCGTGGTTTACAGTTAAACTCGTGTTTCAATACGTCGAAGTTTGATAGCTTGATAGCTGATTTTGCAGAGAAAGTGCATAGTCGGTGTCATTCTATTGCACTACATTCAATAAAACATTACGAGATATTCAGCCTGTCATTCACTGACCTACGTTTTATATGCATATTCCTCCCTCACGAGTTCGCACCCACAGTGAAGTTAGTCAATATCATTCATGGACTAGAGACAGGTTCAAAACTTTACTACATTCAGTATAAAACAACAATGCAGAAATTTGAAGTTTTCAAATTTCTATCACTTCACTCTGGGAAAATATTTGGTGAAAGTAGCAAGCAATATGTCATCCTATCGGAAATGATCCACCTATGTTCATTGTTGTTTCTTCATATTCATAGTCAGTTTTGGAGATGGGCATTTGGGAAATCTACACGGAAACATCTGCAAAACAACTGACTGGTTGCTTGCATTTGAAGTGGTACATGCAACAGAGGTCCATTGAAATGGATACTTTAAACGAAGTGAAACAGTAATATAGGCATGAATCATGATGTTGAGACGGTCCGAAAAATAATCGCATTCATTGTTGCACTGGCTCACTCACTTGTTTGATAAATGACATCATTTCAGGAAGGTCAGTGTTTGTTAAAGAATTTGAAGGATAGTGTTTATTGGTTGTATAATCAAGTTGCATGAAAAATTCTCATTTGATAATTTGCACTGACCTTCTCAACAAATGTGAATGGAGTTCTCAGCAACCAATATGCAGACATAGACGATTTCCACCAACAAATTCACTGCCCTGAGCCATGCAACTGCACTTGTGAAGTTGTTATGCAGCATTCAAATAGGCAGAACGAAGTATTCGATCTATTAATTTAAAAAATGTTATTAAGTGATAAATTATTATAATAAAATAATTAAAATTCTATGTGTAACCGTGAGTTATATGACTACATGTCTTCCCACTACATTCACCCTATTCATCATGATCATTATTTACTGGTTTGACAACGTCTACTACAACACTATGTACATCATCACATTTCAACCATAAGCTGTTCCAGAGTTCACATAACCTCCCCACTGAAAAGCGAATACTCACATTCATTTCGACTGGTTCAAATGCCCCAAAACCTGAGATTCGTAATGATGAACAAGTTGATTTCAAAACAATTGAATCTACAGAGGATTGTCTGAAGTCAACGTTCACTTCTTCACATTAGTTTATTTGATGGAACCATGATATTTGTGTTCATATGGATTAAGTATGTAGTTATCAAGTAAGTTTCTGCAACGGACAGTGTACTGTGGTCAGACAACGACCTCTGTGCCTCAACTATGTGTACTAGTCGGCGGCTTTTCACCTTTTTTTTCTGCTGGAGAATGAAATCCTCACTGAAAGCTTTATCTGGTATCTGTAGTGAATTTCACACATGCATTCTCAGCAGTCACAGTGTTCAATAGATTATTCAAATCAAATTCTTTATTGCATATGAGGAAACTGTCATCTGTGTATCATTTGTAGAAGTATATCTTACTGACTGACAAACTAAGGATATCATTTTCAAGAGACTATGAGGCAATCAGCTGAGAGTGTATGGAGAGAGCTCCTGATTACCCCTTCATCCGTTTGTTAAAGATTGTTGGAATGAAGAATATAGACTGATAAAAAATGTGATACTGCATTTAATAACTTGACACACAGGAATGAGAAAATTAACCAGAAGTATGTCAGTGATCACAGCGAAGTAACTGCTCAGCATGTTCTTCCGAAAAACAAAACTTCTGTCTGATCGATCTTTCTCCAAAGGCCCCAGATATGTTATGAAGATGTGTATGATTAACGTCTGGCAATGATTTTGGAAAGATAGGATAGCAGGATGAAGGACTGATAACATTTACATCGTATCGTCTATTGATCACACATCTTAACACATAACATTTGGTTACTTTGATTCCACCTTTTTCAAACTGATTCTGCAACCGGTTATTTCTTCGGTCTAATTTTTAACCATGACGATCAAACGATATATGCGTGGTCATGGTTCACGATGAAGATGTGGGATTAAACTCTGTAAACGTTCTCAATGACTTACACATAGAACTGGTTAGAAAACCGTAATTACTGTTCTGGTTAGGCTTTACCGTATGTTATCAATTAAAGAGTTGCGCTAGAATTTTATGTGCAAAACAAAGATTTCTTCTACAATATCATTAGTTCACTTATGTAGTTTTTGTAAGTCATGTTTGCCTGAGTGAGCTTCTCTGGTTATGCATCTTCAAACAGTCTTCGGAGTGAATTGACCTTGTTATCAGCTCTACGTATCTGAGTATACTGAGTTGTACTTCATTGTGGTAAGTCTATGAGGGTGCGTATTTAGTGCTTAGGTCGTTAAATTTTCTCTGTATGCTTCTTCATGCAGCACCATCTTGCACTGAGTGCTACCTACAAAACTGCATTTCCGTAGTGTGTGGTGTAACATCCAGAAACACAGCAGGTAGAAGAAATTAACTCTTAACGTTTGGAGAATCACACAGACAGAATACAGAAGCGAAAGATAGTGTGTTGAGCTCTTTAATCTAACTTCAAAATTCCCAACTGTTTTCGTATTTTCTGCAATTCACTAACCAGTGCACTTTGATTTCACAAGCGATATATGCATCGTCTATTCGCAGGGTGTCTGCCATCTTTTAAAGATATATGTTTTCTTCCCTCTTCATTACTCTTTTCTATCGAATTAACCGCAGCTGCTTTCATATGTTCTATATATCTCCTGTCACCTAAGATTAATACCTTATATTTGAAAACAAAACAAGGTAAAGATGTGTGCTTTTATTTCCAACACGCATAACATATACATGAGTTAGCATAAGGACAGAATTTTTGACAGCATTGAGAGAATATGTTAGGCCAGAACAGATCAACATGGTTACTTCAATATCATCTTCATCACAGAAGTTTCAGGAGACTTAGCAAATCAAACGGTTTCTGTTCGTAGAAGCGTTTAGGAAAGAAGAGTTCTTTAAGATTGGAGAAATCGAGAATGCAACTTCTCAGCCATCTGTATAAGGTCAAACTGAAATGAACGGAGAAGTGTATATTGTTGAGTGTGTGTTAATTAGGCGGTCATTTTAGTTGGGCATGTAGATTCATATGCATGGATTATTGGAAATAAGCTGGTCATAAAATACTTAAACTTAGTGTGAGATGAGTGGTTTACATTATTACACTGTCTATTACTGAGAACAAGCAACGGAAAATGGAATAAGGCAAGTGAAACAGCTTTCCGCAAATACTGCAGTTTAGTGAATTCATCAAATAACAACAAGCATTTGAAAGCGAATCTCTCTGAAATCGTAATAAAATCCCTTTCCTCGCTTTAGTTGTCCATGACAAACAATAGTTATATGGAAGGAATGCAGTGATGAGTTTTGTGCAAATGCATCTCTTATGGGTGATAAGTAGTGCTTTACTTTCCAGCATATTCCTCAATCAAACGCAGATGTTCCAGATAGTTGTATAAGAATCATAAACATCTGCATAGTCCACTGTGTTCCGAATTCTCAAATGTGTTCATCTATTGATTTGATTAGCTACGTCAGTTTAGTTGCTCCTCGTCACTGATAAATAGTTAATCGTGTTATGGCAACAAGAATTCTCGAAACCTCCAGTTTAAATACACTGTCATGGAATATGCTATAAGGTTACAAATATGTAACTGGAACCAGTGACAACTGGTTGATCACCTCCGAAGAGCAAGCGACAAACAAAAACATTTGAATTCAACCAACTCTGCAAGGTGTCGGTCAGTTGAGAGCTGTGTTAATAACTGTGTTAAACTGTGTTTCCATGATAATGTACACACAAAAATATAGACGAACTTCGAATTTACAAATAGAACTTCATGAAAGCTGCCCTCATTTCAGTCGGTCTGTGACTCACAACTGAATTATTGTTGATCAATACAACTTCTGTGCCACAACTGCAGTTGACTAGTTGGAATACGACACATCATAATATTCATGATACTGGCATTCATTTCACGAATGCCAAGAAGTAATCATAGTCTGTGCCGTGTTCTGGAAAACGCAGGAGTCCTGCTTTCCATTTTCTCATTGGAGAGTAGACTAGAAGTATTTACAAACGTTGATCATCAAGGTGAGAACCCCTGCCTATAGTAATCAGACAGGAATTAAAATCGTTGCCTACGCATAATACTGTCTTTTGGATATATAATGAGATGTGAAAGTTCTAAATCTGCTAAAATTCCCGGATAATTGAACTACTGGTCTTCAGTGTGCAGTCGAACTATACAACTACAGCCTAACTTCATAAAGGACACTCCTAACCATACCTTCACTCGGATTGGGTTGTTTAATGCAGACCTCTGAACTTTACAACAATCCGAAAATCTTCCAGTACTCTAGTTACACTCTAAAGATGACTCTGATCATCAAACCAATTTAGTGATTGGATCACGATGCTTTATCGTCCAATTTCACCTGTCAACTCAAATCATAAAACTGGATCTTCGTGGTGAAATTGTAAGGCCCACACTGGGTAATGGGGAGCTCGTTCCCATGAAGCAAATGCCAACTGCATTGTCCGGCCTCATACAACAGGTCATGGGAATCTGTCTGGTCTGCCCATTCATGCAGAGAGATTTCTCTGGAAATGCCACACACATACGTGAGAAGTGGCAATATCATTTATTTCATGAAACTTGTTGTTTAGTGAATCTAGTTTCGTAGTCGACAACTCGCACTGTTGTATAGAACACTCAGTTGTTTGAAGTAAATCATAAGTGGAAGAGGGGAATAGCTTTGTTTAACGTTGCCAATTCATCAAGCTCAATGTTGACCATAACCTTTGGAGAAACAGTCAAAACACTGGACATAACTGAGTCAATACATGACAATAATTATCTAATTCGCTAAGTGTGATGCATTCATTGACTAAAAGTGTAGGATGTAGGAAACTGTATATATCTATTTGAAGGTTTTTAATTCTGAGGTGTATTGCTGCCAGATCCACACTCCAACTGAACTATGTTATGTGTAGGAATAGCACAGGATGGCCAATCCGATCCAGCTCTGCAGTAAAAATGCTCATTCACAACAGTCTTCAGCATGGCCCTGAATGACACTGCTAATCTAATCATCGCAGTCCGCATACAATAGTATGCGCTGTGTATGACGCTGTTAGATATCCTAATATATCACCACAGTTTGTAGGAATTTTAAAATATCCACATGACTTACTACAAGTCGAACCAAAACTCTCTGGATAATTAGGAACAAAAGTAGGAGTATAGACGTTATACAATTCACCAGTAGTGGAGACTGATTTGAAAGCTATCGAATCCTCCAAAATTTGACAATGACTCGAATAAAACAACCTCATCGGTTTATGCCGTAAAATGTTGTTCTTCTCATATTTTCACTGCGAACTCCTAGTCACAGTATTGATCATAAAATGTCACGATACTTAAGTCTATTACTTAGGGTCATTATTTACTAAAATATCATTGATCGCGAATAAAATACTTCAGGAATTTGTACTACATAGACTGTTTTGCAGCAGTTCATTAGTCGATGAAGGCAACATTGTCACGCATGACAATGAGAAATGGGTCACTTCAAAATTCCCAAACTTCTCCGAATAAATCCCACTTTCCTGTAATTAGGACACAAAACGGTACACAGTTATTTAGTGAGATGTTCAGCATAGTGTCTTCTATTGAATGACCTTGGCCAATGATATCAGGACAACGTCCTGACCGACATTATATGTTTCCGAACTGACTCGAAAACGGTGGTTGGATTCTGAGGCGTGTTCCGCTGATGTTAAGACCATTGGTGAAAGGGTAAAATATGAATGATGGCATGAGTTTGTCGCAATTCTATCTCCGAATAGTAGGGATGAGTGATTCTCCTCACATATTTCAAGATCGTCAGTCTATACATTATGTAAGCTCGGTGTTTGCGCATGGATTTCTGATAGACTGACTTTCATTGAGCACTTCTTCACTGGAGCGAAGTTTCTCGTATGCTGCAGGCATTCGTAGAACTGAATGTAATTATGCTTGGGTTTTTGTCATGTATTCGTTCTGAGGAGTACTATTTTCCCTCTCAGTAACTGGTATTTTGAGCGCTGGACATCTTCATCCAAAATCTACCAGTAGCATTCTGTGGATCTCAGATTTTTCATGAAGCATTTCTTACTGCACTAATTATTAGGTTGTAATGCACGCTACTATTGTTCACCTATGACTTCACTTCATCCAGGAACTAACTATCACGGATGTGTTCGTCTCTAGAATATCCTGTATGTTGTTAAGTGCCATGTGGATACAGTTTTCCTCTTGACTGCAAACATCTATCACTATGTTGTCAATAGCTATTAGTCCTGACATCATTACATCCATAGGAGTAACCTGCATTACACCAAATTCATTTCTTCTAAATGCATAACTCACCCACTGATAACTCTCTGTATGAAACTGAAATTTTCACGAGAAATAATATAAAGGCTTTTACATACGAAAATGTCATTTCTCGATCAGTAATTTCCGTGCTTGAATATATGATTGCCTCAATTCGGCGAGGTTCTCAGTTTTTGATGATTCCACTTACTTCAAGTGACTCAAGTTTTAACAATCAAACTGACAGAGTGACCCGCCATTTTGCAGATTTAACAAAATCAAGGAGTGAAGTAACACATAAAAATGATATCTCTCATTTTCTGTTTCCCATTTGTAATAAATATGTGAAATATGCTTTATAACAGTGGTTTATTCAGTCGAGAAAGAAGTCTGAGTAACCCACCGAGAGATAATCACTATTTAAGGGGAGGTAAACTGGTATAAGGCGAACGAATATTCTCATGTATGCCATTCACCATCCATATTCTAAGAGTTACGAACCTTAGAACTAATGACATTACTGACTGAAATATCCAATGTTCTTTCGTAATTGAGTTCACATTACCTCATATAGGTAGTTAATGTATTCATGTATGAAAATCAATTTACTGCTAAATGATAAGTATTGAGCTCAGAGTATAATCATCAACATAATCTGAACATCGTCTTAGTGAAGTTGACTTGAAATTACTTTCGAGTTGGTCATGGTCATTGAATGCAGACATTTATCATCGAAATGTGAGTGGAAGCATTGAGAGGGTGGCAATGCATCAAGCACACGCAGTCATAAATCCATTTACACAGCAACTTCACTCCTTGGCTACTTTGATGATTTCAAAGCTTTTGAGAACTATGTTTTGTACGTGGGTTGGTAGTTCCTTGGTATTTGATGTAGCTCATTGTCGAGTTACAGAAGTAAACACAACTTTGTGTTTTCTCAACGAATACACTTCATTCACTTGCGTTCCCAAGTGATCATAAGTGAATGGTGTTTATGGTCATATTCATATAATAATACCAGATTTCATACCATTTAAAACTTTCGAAAATCTTAAGTTTCTGCGTTACCTGTTCCAAGCAGTCACTATGAATCTGAAATTTATTTGAAAAAAGGAGTTCAAGAAAAACTTTCTGATGATAATGGAAACGGTCTGAATGTTATCTGCAAACTGCCTAGTGACAGTCTCAGATTTATTCTCTTTATCTTCAGGAAGCTAACTCAGTTGAGTTTTCAAGCATTCTACTTAGTACTTTACGTATATGTGATGGAAATTATCCATCCTTGCTGCAGTATAGATCATTCAACACTGAACTGTCTAAATTACTTTATTCGCTTTATAGCAGAAATGTGAGCATTCATTAATGAGTTCTTATTCCTCTCTTCCATTGGTTATTAAAGCCTACTATAGGTTTTGTGCTTTCCTTTAAATGACTAGTATTTCTTTGAAAATTACAAGTCTATCAAATAAAGAAATCATAGACATTTTCAAGTAGTATAATATCGAAATAGAATAACCTATTTAGTCGATTCTATGCTGTTAAAAACTTGCAGGCACAAGAAGTACTAATTCCCAATCGAGATGAATGTTAGATACCTGTGAATATAGATAGTTCTGAAATTTCAGTCGCTAGTAGAAGTTTAGGATTGTTTGCAGCAATTCATTTAACGCGTTAGTTGTGTTTACGCGATGCCTGTAAAACAGAGGTGTACAGAAAACCTTTCAGGCATTAAACATGGGAGAAGATCTTTCTTATCCCTCCGTTCTGGGATAAGTATTTTTAAAAATCCTGTTTCTGAAACTTCACAGGAAACGTTTCGTAGGGACGATCTGCATGACTATTTGTCTACTCATGGTGCAGTTCTTTGCATATGTAGTCGTTAATAATGCCACTATGTTACAAATTTCTGGTTTATGAGTCACGGGATTCAGAGACCTGCAAACATATACTACACTACTTTTTTGTTAGAAAAAAGACTTACACAGTTTCGTCTTCGACATGTTGAACATGTTTTTTGACTGACACGGATTTGTATATATGCATGTAACTGCCCATACATTATGTAACCGATGTTGTTGTTTGTATTATTCCGTAGTTGAGTGGACCGAATTGATTGGTCTCTGTTAGCATATGAGCTCCTGTCGAGGATGCCTGTTTATTGCCTGTGTTTGAGTTATGCTTTCCTGATGGATAGTGGCTAGCATTGGAATCCAAGGTGCGCTCTTCCTCCTATTCGCGACTTGTGAGGTGGATATGCCTGCCTTCCATTGAGGGGTGTAGTTCCCACCAGAACAATATGAAAACTGTACCCGTCTCACAAGAAGTGACTGTCGTGATTCGGTAGTGTAGTGGACAACGTTCTCTCGTCTGGAGCGACCAGCCCCTGTCCTAATTGGAATAACATTGCCTGCTAGGAGGCAAGTGAATTCAACTAACGACTTCTGAGTGGGACGAGACATGCATTCTGGATCTCACTGCTAGCCACTATACCTTACTAATATATCATCTAACTGAGTTACCGAACTATCCTAGTACACACAATCAAGCATGTAGACTGGAAATCATATACTGGTTTATATTCAACCTAATGAATTATTCTTATCTGTGCAAACTATAAACTTCAGTCTGAAGTACAGTATTTGTTCATTAAATTTTCGGAAGTAAAATATTCAACTCTGAAAAGCATATAAACGCTGACTTTTGTTGGTTCTGTAAATTGTCTTCAAGCTTACATAAATAGACATGAGACGAGATAACGCATATTATTGCAGGGACATAAAATTGCCTACGAAACATAGAAATATTCGAAATCAGTTACGTAGAGAAGCTCAGTTAACCTCTGTAAAATGTTGAGGTTTCTTAGAAATGACTGTTTTTTCTTTGAATGTGTTGTGAACTACGTGAAACAAATTATTTCAAGTCCTCTTTCTAAATATTGGTGGGTACGTGAAAAATGTACTTACCCCGCATAACCTGGAAACAAGATTGCGAAAATTTGACTGCAAGAATGGTTGAATATAGTGTTGAACATTACTAATATAGCTCAGTGCAGCAGTTGCAGGACTTGCAGTCAAAAAGCATACTGGGGAAGACGATCACTGGATCTTAAGATGCCACGAATATTATAAGATGTAGCTCCATAAAAATAGTCCACAATATTGAAAATACTGTTTTCTCTCGAATTGGAAATAATATGCATCAAATATGCTCAAATATATCCATCAGACCCATGTACTAGGGCTGTGGTTAACAGTAACATCGTTCTATTGAATACTGACAATGTGTTATATAGATCTTTTAGTTTGACTAAACACTGTGGCAGTATAACGGTGTGAATAAATAGTTTGGTTTTCACATCTACTCTATAGAAAAAATCGAGATATTGAATGGTAATGGTACTACTGCCCAATATTAATCTGATAGTATGGATTAATATACCAGTTAAATAAAAGAAGAAAGATCACTTACAGTTTTAATCCTCATAGGTAACAATCAGGAGATACATAATACTTTCGTTGAAAATCGCCTTAGAACTTCATGAAGTACACTACTGGTTCAACTAATGCAATAGTCACCCTCATAGACCACTGTTCAGTGAAGACTAACATACTATCTTGCCACTGTGTGCAAAAAATTATATCGCTCAATCATGCAACGTAGGCAGCGAATCGGAGGATGAGTCTTTGCCTCAAACTTCATATGTTGTTAGATTGTCTGACAGTATTCAAAGAATAAAGGGCTGATTGATCAACATAAGGTTATATAAATATACACTGACTCATGTTTCGTTAAGTTCTTAGTACATGAGAAATGCAAGTTAACTCCTCTACAGAAAGAATAGAGAGAAATTCAAAGTTCCCTGCTGTCACAATACAATATTCTGCACAAAATGCGATGAGTCTGTGCTTTGTCACTTTCAGTGAACAGACTGTTTGAACACTAACTTACATGACTTAACCAGTATTGAGATAAATGCTATGACGAAAATGTAATACGTAGTCCTGAACATAAATGGGCCCACTGAACATCAAATGAATGAAAGTGATCATTACAATTCACTTCACTCAAATAAATATATAGGACTAGAGTGTAATTATATTTGTTTGCGTGCATTCTAAGTATCCTTCTCCACAATCAATTGGTTCAATTTGGTACAGAAAAATGATTGACTGTTTGCGTATGCAAATTGAAATAGTACTGAATGATTTTAGCTTCTTAAGGAATAAGAGTATCGCTTGATTGATTCGAAGCTGATACTGTGTAACAAACAATATGACGCAGAAAACCAAATTATGTTCTAGTTTGTTCAAGATATTCCTGTGAGGTCTTAATGATACTTCAATTACAGTAATGACTGAGCTTGTTGGCTGGAGTTTTGGTTATGTGGCTTTATGCGATTCATTGATTCATCGTACTGCCTATGCAAGAAGGAATATCATTCGTTAGACAATACATCTTTTTCACTAAAACAACGTTTCCACCACGTACATAGTGTTCATTTTGATGCTGTTTTTATTTACCTACATGCACCAATGATTTTTTTGAGAATTCGGAGTTGAAAGGCCTCAAATTTAAGACTTACCTAACAATTCAATCAGTATAAATTCTAAAAAGCATTAACCGTCGCAGAAGAATATTATGCGCATATTTCATGGCTTCATCTTATCTCCTCAGCTGCAAATAACCTGCAGCATTTGAAATAATAATTTGTTCCACTTAAACCAAGCGAAGTAAGGAAATGGTGTGTATTGAAGTCATGTTGAAATGTCATATTATAGTATTATATATATATATATATATATATATATATATATATATATATGTATATATACTGGATGTGAAGAGAACTTTTGTCTCAAGCATATGTATTTCGCGAATTCATTTTTATCTACAAAGTATTTTGTTGTGATCCTTCTACCTTCTTCTGACATCAGAATTATCGCTTCATTTTCAGACCTACTTGTGATTTATTATTTGGACGCTTCGAAAGTTATCAGAAGGTGAATAATTCAAGTGTATCCGGTGAGCGCTTACTAATCTGACACATGGATGTAGTATCGTTCCCATCTACTAAACTGTACAACTCAGAACATTTATGTGTATAACGGCTTTTTAAAATTACGACTAGTTTGACGTATTCACGGTAGTCGGAGTGCAACTCAAACTGAATTGATTAGACAACTATTTCTTATTGGAAAAAAACACAATGACTCCATGAATGTATTAGCTCTGTTATTTCTTTGAAACCACTTTGTTTCATATCATACCTCGAGGCATAGTTATTACTAGTGCAGATTGATCGGCAAAATTCTACTTCAAAATGTGTTAATTTAATAACATATAACCATCATATATTGGTGTGGAAATTCCAATCAAATGCATAATTTCAATCTCATCCAGCTAATATTACGTTTTCAAACAGTTAGAACAATAACAAAGTTGATGAAATATCACGGAACAGTCATATGTTCCATAATTATTTTTTTTAACTCCATCAAGACTGATTGCTTGTTCGACTTACGAAAATCATTCAGCACTACCATGTCCTTTCTAATGAATAGTACCATCAAAAGTACCTTCAAGTACTTTTACGATGTAATTTGAAGCTTCGACTTAGTGAGCTTCTCAACATTCTTGAAAGGAGATCATGAGGCCTATCAATAGAGAGAGAATAGAGAATAGGAAATCGGTTGTTTTCGTGAAATATTCAGAATCAAATAACCATCATGTCAGGTTGTATTAGTTGCATCTGCTGAAATGTTTTCACCATAGTAGCCACAATATGATGTCCAACATAAAAAATCTTGAAAAACTACAAAATGTTCAATACTAGGGACTGAATGTACAACTTGAAAATGAAAGCAAACTGGATTTTAGAAGTATTACATCATCTGGAGTTTCAGTATTACCCAAACACCTATCATTACTAAATTAGACATCTCATTTCATTTTCATAGAACACTGGTGAAGTCAAGTATTTGCATCAAGCACGATGGAGTAGATGTTCGTGCGTGCAAGTCTTATCGACTTGGTAACAATACGGTTTTAAAGCAATCACACTCCTCATTCTGCTTGAAATACGTATATATGCATTTCAAGTAAAGATTATTTATAACATAATTATTAGTACTTCTTGGAATCAGTTATCATCAGTGAATACGAAACACACTGTCTGTGAAGTCACATACATGTTATTTAAACAAGTATGTATGTTTAGGTTAAGCTATGAGTATTCAGTTAGTGTTGCCTGATCAACCTATGCTTTGACCGACAAAATCGAGCAATAGACTATTTCGTAAATGATATAAAGTCTGCCTGTTAGAAATGAGTTTATAAAACTGTTCATCCTGAATAAGAAATAGAGGTATCCATTTTGAGGCCTGCACTTTTGTACTATTCAAAAAGAAAAGAAAGTAGGACATTTTTTAATTTTATGAGACAAGTATACAGATGACTTTCTATCAGCATAAGATAGAACATGAATAAAGTTTGTTACACCTAACTACTTACTTAGACTCCAAGTGTCTAAGTTCGTAGTTATCCTTTCTCCACCCAAACATGTTTAATCCATACATAAAATAGTTAATTTTGTAGTCGTCGCTTGCACATCAAAAGTTTAGAAATGCAAAATAATCATAGGAAAAAACAGCCGTAATGTTGCATTGCTCAGCTTTCTCACGCAGATTGTATTTTTTTTCAAGTATCGGAAGTAAACATTATGAGATCCGACGTTTCAAGTGTTGCTTGTAGCAACACGTAGATTACCCCTTTTGAACACTTTCTGAAAAGCTAAATATGTTCATTTCTTCATTGAATAAAAAATGAATGAGACATAGACACTTCCCCACTAACGCAGACATTCTCTTCTCAGTCACCTGTAATTGATGTTGTACAAGATTCATAGAAAAATGATCAGAGAAAGATGCAAAGTACTATGATGTGAGAGTTTGTTCAAGCATATCGTTACACTCAGACTATTAAAGGTGAGGTCTTCATTCAGATTGCTCAAAGTATGAAAAAGATTGTGGAATCTTTCATCGCCATCAGCAAGGTACATTATTCATACAATTTGTAACTGATAGAGGTAGTGTTCTTTCGGATCGAGCAAATATAATGACATCATGCAAAATCTGAATCAAAAAATATACTTGCCAAAGCAACATAGAATCATTTTAGTCAAGTTAGCCCCAAAAAATCACTTGACAGCAATCCAAGTTTAGATTTGATGTACACGTTCTAAAATTTTATAATTATCAACAGTTGCTACTTTTGTTTCAGGGAAGTATATTTCCGGTAATAAAAAAGTATTTTATTGCATTATGTTGAATAAGTAGCTGGATAATTCCACTGCTGAGAAAACCCTTGTATAGCGAAACGGAATACATTGCCATAAGAAAGAGTGTCTATTTGATATTTTCCAAAATTTTGTTAACTATGACTGTTCGCATTTTACCCCTGGGGAGAAGAGAGAAGGAAGCCGATGGGCTGACCACTTCAAATGACTCTTGAATCAACCACCAACACCACCACCACCACCAGGACCGGCTAGTTGACTAGTGAGCTGGTAAACTTGGCGAGGCTGCACTACATCGATAAAATACGAACATTCATAGTTAACAAAATTTTGGAAAATATCAAATAGACACTCTTTGTTATGGCAATGTATTCCGTTTCGCTATACAAGGGTTTTCTCAGCAGTGGAGAGAGACAACTTCAGTTAGATTTCTCCCGTTGATAGTGACTGGTGCTCGTTGTTGTTGTTGTTTTCGTTGTTGGTTGGTTGGTTGGTTGGTTGGTTGATGCGTTGGTTAGGTATCTTCATCACATCTATCTGCTCCACGTTCACCTGGAGAAAGTCCCGTCAAAGCTGCTCCGCATCACCTCTTCTACCAAACTCTCAGTTTTCGCCTGTACATCTTCCAGTTTGTGCGACATGACATCAGGTGATAGTTGGCGGCAACCTTGTCTTACTCCTTCCTGTCTTCACTTCATGGACATTGTTGAGATTTCCATTGTCGAGCACTTGGAGTGTAGCATGATATGACATACAGCTGTTGAATGAGGTTGATACAGGTTTGTGGCACTTAGACCGTAGTGTTGAAGCAGCTGCCTGCCAAATTACTTCTCGGTCGGTCGACGAAGTTGAGGTAGAGAGTTGCCATTCTGCCATTCCACCCTCCGTTAAATGATGATGCGTTGCAATTCCATCGCATATGATTTCTACTTCATCAAGCCAGCCAGCCTGTTCCAGTTGGAATTTTGAATTGCGGGCATGTTTTTGGTGTCACCAGGATGATGCGGCTTATATCTTGTTTGAGGTGGACACAGGTGAAGCATGATTCCGCGTCAGTTCTAGCAAAGACTTAGGTCACCCTTCGTCAGGAGATTGACAAGGTAGCCTGTATTACAATCGGTATGCACCTCTCCTTCCTTCCTTCTGAACCATCTGCAGTAGTGGTTTGACCATGTCCAGTGTTCTCTCTGTGTCTGTTTTCAGTGCTCTTGTCGGAATTCTATCTGGTTCGGCCGCTCTCCCGGATTTCAGCAACTTCATGGCGTGGCGTTCAGCACTTCACTTCTGCTTCTGTCGGAGTGTTTGTGTTCACTGATATTTCTGTGACTGTGTGCTGGTGGTGTTTGTGGACGGGTTGCAGGTGATGCTGATGATGATGGTGTTGGTGTTGGTGGTGGTGGTGGTGGTGGTTGATTCAAGAGTCATTTGAAGTGTTCAGCCCATCGCTTTCCTTCCTTCTTCTCTCCAGGGCTAACTAAGTTTCCTTCGATATCTCTCGTTGGTTTCATCTGTGTTCATCTCTTCCCAGAAAGATAGCAACCTGACGATTTGATATGATGTTGTCAGGTCTCTGTCTTTCCAACCTGCTGCCTGTTCTGCTTCAGTTGCAGTTGTGTCGCAGAAGTGTCTTTTGTCTTTCCGTGTTTTCCTCTTCACTTCGTTGTCCAGTGTTTCATACGTCGTAATCAGTTCCTCTGCTTGTTGTTTATCCCCACAATGCACTGCACAGATTCATCTTCTGCTTAAACATCTTCCTCTCCCATGTCTAGAAGCTTTCATGTGTCTGTGGAGATCCATTCCTTGTCTTGTTTCTTCTTTCCTTCTGACAAGGTAAATGTAGCTTTCCTTCCACATCTCTTCGAGAGAGTTCCAGTATTCTTCCGTGCAGCTTTCTTCAAAGATGTTGCTCAATATCTCACATTTGGTAAAGATGACTGACTGACGTCCTCTGTAGTTTCGTCCTTCAGCATCTGTTCTGGGTGTGTGTGAAATTCAAATCTACGTCACTATGTGAATGCCCTTGTTTTGTAGACACTGTCTTCATTAATTAAATCGTGATTGCATCTGCTCCTAATTTTCATTTGAATTCAGTTGCCATGACCCTGATCGTTGAGGAGATTGGCTACCACTGCATGAGGGTGTGCCTCCAATGCTGTTGCGGACATCGTGATCGCCACTCGAAAACCAGTGTGCTGTGCTCATGGTTGTCGTTTGAGTGACAATATCGAGTAGATTCGATTATTGACTCCTTTCCAGTCGACGATTTTGTCCAGAGTCCACTTCCATTCAGTCTGCAGATTCCTCGCAGGTTTTTAACACGCCTATGCTATACCTTCTCACCTCCTTTGCAATCTGGCCTGCCTTGCCAGCCAGTCAGCCAGATTCAAACATTGTGCTGACGTTCCATGTTCCCATGTTTACTTTAGGCTGCATCGAGCGAGTGAAGACACACCGGCTGACCGGCTTCTCGAAGGCTTTCACCAATCGGCATCATTTCTTCCCTCCGATTGTGGCGAGGAATAACGTTAATCTTATTTATAATATATAATTTGTGCTTTGAAGTTTCTTTAGTGATTGGAGTGGTTTTCCTGGGTATGGTTGCTTGTCTTATGATCAGCTTCCTTCTTTAATCAGGCTTAGGACCGGCTAGTTGACTAGTGAGCTGGTAAACTTGGCGAGGCTGCACTACATCGATAAAATGAGAATATTCATAGTTAACAACATTTTGGAAAATATCAAATAGACACTCTTTGTTATGGCAGCGTATTCCATTTCACTATACAAGGTTTTTCTCAGTGGTGGAATTATCCAGTTATTATGCAATGTAATGCAATGAAATACTTTTTCATTACCGGAAATATACTTCCCTGAAACAAAAGTAGCAACTGTTGATAATTATAAAATTTTAGAACGTGTACATTAAATCTAAACTTGGATTGCTGTCAAGTGATTTTTTGGAGCTAACTTGACTAAAATGATTCTATGTTGCTTTGGCAAGTATATTTTTGATTCAGATTTTGATTGATGTCATTATGTTTGCTCGATCCGGAAGAACACTACCTCTGTCAGTTACAAATCGTGTGAATAATGCACCTTGCCGATGGCGATAAAGATTCCACAATCCTTTTCATACTTTGAGCAATCTGAATGAAGACCTCACCTTTAATAGTCTGAGTGTAACGATATGCTTGAACAAACTCTCACATCATAGTACTTTGCATCTTTCTCTGATCATTTTTCTATGAATCTTGTACAACATCAATTACAGGTGACTGAGAAGAGAATGTCTGCGTTAGTGGGGAAGTGTCTATGTCTCATTCATTTTTTATTCAATGAAGAAATGAACATATTTAGCTTTTCAGAAAGTGTTCAAAAGGGGTCATCTACGTGTTGCTACAAGCAACACTTGAAACGTCGGATCTCATAATGTTTACTTCCGATACTTGAAAAAAATACAATCTGCGTGAGAAAGCTGAGCAATGCAACATTACGGCTGTTTTTTCCTATGATTATTTTGCATTTCTAAACTTTTGATGTGCAAGCGACGACTACAAAATTAACTATTTTATGTATGGATTAAACATGTTTGGGTGAGAAAGGATAACTACGAACTTAGACACTTGGAGTCTAAGTAAGTAGTTAGGTGTAACAAACTTTATTCATGTTCTATCTTATGCTGATAGAAAGTCATCTGTATACTTGTCTCATAAAATTAAAAAATGTCCTACTTTCTTTTTCTTTTTTTGAATAGTACAAAAGTGCAGGCCTCAAAATGGATACCTCTATTTCTTATTCAGGATGAACAGTTTTATAAACTCATTTCTAACAGGCAGACTTTATATCATTTACGAAATAGTCTATTGCTCGATTTTGTCGGTCAAAGCATAGGTTGATCAGGCAACACTAACTGAATACTCATAGCTTAACCTAAACATACATACTTGTTTAAATAACATGTATGTGACTTCACAGACAATGTGTTTCGTATTCACTGATGATAACTGATTCCAAGAAGTACTAATAATTATGTTATAAATAATCTTTACTTGAAATGCATATATACGTATTTCAAGCAGAATGAGGAGTGTGATTGCTTTAAAACCGTATTGTTACCAAGTCGATAAGACTTGAACGCACGAACATCTACTCCATCGTACTTGATGCAAATACTTGACTTCACCAGTGTTCTATGAAAATGAAATGAGATGTCTAATTTAGTGATGATAGGTGTTTGGGTAATATTGAAATTCCGGATGACGTAATACTTCTAAAATCCAGTTTGCTTTCATTTTCAAGTTGTACATTCAGTCCCTAGTATTGAACATTTTGTAGTTTTTCAAGATTTTTTATGTTGGGCATCATATTGTGGCTACTATGGTGAAAAATTTCAGCAGATGCAACTAATACAACCTGACATGATGGTTATTTGATTCTGAATATTTCACGAAAACAACCGATTTCCTATTCTCTATTCTCTCTCTATTGATAGGCCTCATGATCTCCTTTCAAGAATGTTGAGAAGCTCACTAAGTCGAAGCTTCAAATTACATCGTAAAAGTACTTGAAGGTACTTTTGATGTACTATTCATTAGAAAGGACACGGTAGTGCTGAATGATTTTCGTAAGTCGAAGAAGCAATCAGTCTTGATGGAGTTAAAAGAAATAATTATGGACATATGACTGTTCCGTGATATTTCATCAACTTTGTTATTGTTCTAACTGTTTGAAAACGTAATATTAGCTGGATGAGATTGAAATTATGCATTTGATTGGAATTTTCACACCAAAATATGATGGTTATATGTTATTAAATTAACACATTTTGAAGTAGAATTTTGCCGATCAATCTGCACTAGTAATAACTATGCCTCGAGGTATGATATGAAACAAAGTGGTTTCAAAGAATAAGACAGCTAATACATTCATGGAGTCATTGTGTTTTTTTCCAATAAGAAATAGTTGTCTAATCGATTCAGTTTGAGTTGCACTTCGACTACCGTGATTACGTCAAACTAGTCGTAATTTTAAAAAGCCGTTATACACATAAATGTTCTGAGTTGTACAGTTTAGTAGATGTGGAACGATACTACATCCATGTGTCAGATTAGTAAGCGCTTACCGGATACACTTGAATTATTCACCTTCTGATAACTTTCGAAGCGTCCAAATAATAAATCACAAGTAGGTCTGAAAATGAAGCGATAATTCTGATGTCAGAAGGAAGTAGAAGGATCACAACAAAATACTTTGTAGACAAAAATGAATTCGCGAAATACATATGCTTGAGACAAAAGTTCTCTTCACATCCAGTATATGTATGTATATGTATATAATTCTATAATATGACATTTCGACATGATTTCAATGCACACAATTTCCTTACTTCGCATGGTCATGTTTTCACTGGTGTAAGTGTAATAAAATATTATTTCAAATGCTGCAGGTTATTTGCAGCTGAGGAGATAAGATGAGGCCATGAAATATGCGCATAATATTCTTCTGCGACGGTTAATGCTCTTTAGAATTTATACTGGTTGAAATGTTGGGTAAGTTTTAAATTAGAGGCCTTTCAACTCCGAATTCTCAAAAAAATCATTGGTGCATGAAGGTAAATAAAAACAGCATTAAAATGAACACTATGAACGTGGTGGAAACGTTGTTTTAGTGAAAGCTCAGTCATTACTGTAATTGAAGTATCATTAAGACCTCACAGGAATATCTTGAACAAACTAGAACATAATTTGGTTTTCTGCGTCATGTTGCTACACAGTATCAGCTTCGAACCAATCAAGCGATACTCTTATTCCTTAAGAAGCTAAAATCATTCAGTACTATTTCAATTTGCATACGCAAACAGTCAATCATTTTTCTGTACCAAATTGAACCAATTGATTGTGGAGAAGGATACTTAGAATGCACGCAAACAAATATAATTACACTCCAGTCTTATATATTTATTTGAGTTAAGTGAATTGTAATGATCACTTTCATTCATTTGATGTTCAGTGGGCCCATTTATGTTCAGGACTACGTATTACATTTTCGTCATAGCATTTATCTCAATACTGGTTAAGTCATGTAAGTTAGTGTTCAAACAGTCTGTTCACTGAAAGTGACAAAGCATAGACTCATCGCATTTTGTGTAGAATATTGTATTGTGACTTTGAATTTTGCTTTATTGTTTCTGTAGAGGAGTTAACTTGCATATCTCATGTACTAAGAACTTAACGAAACATGAGTCAGTGTATATTTATATAACCTTATGTTGATCAATTAGCCCTTTATTCTTTGAATACTGTCAGACAATCTAACAACATATGAAGTTTGAGGCAAAGACTCATCCTCCGATTCGCTACCTACGTTGCATGATTGATCGATATAATTTTTTAAACACAGTGGCAAGATAGTATGTTAGTCTTCACTGAACAGTGGTCTATGAGGGTGACTATTGCATTAGTTGAACCAGTAGTGTACTTCATGAAGTTCTAAGGCGATTTTCAACGAAAGTATTATGTATCGCCTGATTGTTTCCTATGAGGATTAAAACTGTAAGTGATCTTTCTTCTTTTATTTAACTGGTATATTAATCCATACTATCAGATTAATATTGGGCAAATAGTACCATTACCATTCAACATCTCGATTTTTTCTATAGAGTAGATGCGAAAACCAAACTATTTATTCACACCAGTTATACTGCCACAGTGTTAACTCAAACTAAATGATCTATATGACACATTGTCAGTATTCAATAGAACGATGTCACTGTTAACCACATCTCTAGTACATGGGTCTGATGAGTATATTTGGGCATATTTGATGCATATTATTTCCAATTCGAGAGAAAACAGTATTATCAACATTGTGGACTATTTTTATGGAGCTACATCTTATAATAATCGTGGCATTTTAAGATCAGTGATCGTCTTCCTCAGTATGCTTTTTGACTGCAAGTCCTGCAACTGCTGCACTGACCTATATGAGTAATGTTCAACATTATATTCAACCATTCTTGCAGTCAAAATTTCGCCATCTTGTTTCCAGGTTATGCGGGGTAAGTACATTTTTCACGTACCCACCAATATTTAGAAAGAGGACTTGAAATAATTTGTTTCACGTAGTTCACAACACATTCAAAGAAAAAACAGTCATTTCTAAGAAACCTCAATATTTCACATAGGTTAACTGAGCTTCTCTACGTAACTGATTTCGAATGTTTCTATGTTTCATAGGAGATTTTATGTCTCTGCAATAATATGCGTTATCTCGTCTCATGTCTATTTATGTAAGCTTGAAGACAATTTACAAAACCAACAGAAGTCGGCGTTGATATGCCTTTCAGAGTTGAATATTTTACTTCCGAAAATTTAATGAACAAATACTGTACTTCAGACTGAAGTTTATAGTTTGCACAGATAAGAATAATTCATTAGGTTGAATATAAACCAGTATATGATTTCCAGTCTACATGCTTGATTGTGTGTACAAGGATAGTTCGGTAACTCAGTTAGATGATATATTAGTGAGGTATAGTGGCTAGCAGTGAGATCCAGAATGCATGTCTCGTCCCACTCAGAAGTCGTAAGTTGATGGAAGGAAGAGCGCACCTTGGATTCCAATGCTAGCCACTATCCATCAGTAATACATGACTCAAAGACAGGCAATAAACAGGCATCGTCGACAGGAGCCCATATGCTAGTAGAGACCAATCAATTCGGTCCACTCAACTACGGAATAATGCAAACAACAACATCGGTTACTTAATGTATGAACAGTTACATGCATATATACAAATCCGTGTCAGTCAAAAAACATGTTCAACATGTCGAAGACGAAACTGTGTAAGTCTTTTTTCTAACAAAAAAGTAGTGTAGTATATGTTTGCAGGTCTCTGAATCCCGTGACTCATAAACCAGAAATTTGTAACATAGTGGCATTATTAACGACTACATATGCAAAGAACTGCACCATGAGTAGACAAATAGTCATGCAGATCGTTACCACGAAACGTTTCCTGTGAAGTTTCAGCAACACGATTTTTGAAAATACTTATCCCAGAACGGAGGGATAAGAAAGATCTTCTCCCATGTTTAATGCATGAAAGGTTTTTGTACACCTCTGTTTTACAAGCATCGTGTAAGCACAACTAACGCGTTAAATGAATTGCTGCAAACAATCCTAAACTTCTACTAGCGACTGAAATTTCAGAACTATCTATATTCACAGGTATCTAACATTCATCTCGATTGGGAATTAGTACTTCTTGTGCCTGCAAGTTTTTAACAGCATAGAATCGACTAAATAGGTTATTCTATTTCGATATTATACTACTTGAAAATGTCTATGATTTCTTGATTTAGTAGACTTGTAATTTTCAAAGAAATACTAGTTATTTAAAAGAGAGCACAAAGCCTTTATTAGGCTTTAATAACCAATGGAAGAGAGGAATAAGAACTCATTCATGAATGCTCACATTTCTGCTATAAAGCGAATAAAGTAATTTAGACAGTTCAGTGTTGAATGATCTATACTGCAGATGTGGTATTGTGTTCTTTTACAACGATGGATGGATAATTCCCCTCACATATACGTAAATTGCTATGTAGAATGCTTGAAAACTCAACTGAGTTGGTTTGATGAAGATAAAGAGAATAAATCTGAGGCTGTCATTTTTTAAAACTTAATGATCTTAGGCAGTTTGCAGATAACATTCAAACCGTTTCCATTATCATCAGAAAGTTTTTTATGAACTGCTATTTTGGGTTAAATTTCAGATTCATAAAGACGGCTTGGGAAAGGTAACGTGTAGATATAATTCAAATTTTCGAAAGTTTTAAAGGGTATAAAAAGCTGGTATTATTATATGAATATGACCATAAACACCATTCACTTATGATCACTTGGGAACGCAAGTGAATGAAGTGTATTCGTTGAGAAAACATAAAGTTTGTGTTTACTTCTGTAACTCGACAATGAGCTACATCAAATACCAAGGAACTACCAACCCACGTACAAAACATAGTTCTCAAAAGCTCCTGAAATCATCAAAGTAGCCAAGGAGTGAAGTTACTGTGTAAATGGATTTATGACTGCGTGCGCTTGATGCAATGCCACCCTCTCAATGCTTCCACTCACATTTCGATGATAAATGTCTGCATTCAATGACCATGACCAACTCGAAAGTAATTTCAAGTCAACTTCACTAAGACGATGTTCAGATTATGTTGATGATTATACTCTGAGCTCAATACTTATCATTTAGCAGTAAATTGATTTTCATACATGAATACATTAACTACCTATATGAGGTAATGTGAACTCAATTACGAAAGAACATTGGATATTTCAGTCAGTAATGTCATTAGTTCTAAGGTTCGTAACTCTTAGAATATAGATGGTGAATGGCATACATGAGAATATTCGTTCGCCTTATACCAGTTTATTTCCCCTTAAATAGTGATTATCTCTCGGTGGGTTACTCAGACTTCTTTCTCGACTGAATAAACCACTGTTATAAAGCATATTTCACATATTTATTACAAATGGGAAACAGAAAATGAGAGATATCATTTTTATGTGTTACTTCACTCCTTGATTTTGTTAAATCTGCAAAATGGCGGGTCACTCTGTCAGTTTGATTGTTAAAACTTGAGTCACTTGAAGTAAGTGGAATCATCAAAAACTGAGAACCTCGCCGAATTGAGGCAATCATATATTCAAGCACGGAAATTACTGATCGAGAAATGACATTTTCGTATGTAAAAGCCTTTATATTATTTCTCGTGAAAATTTCAGTTTCATACAGAGAGTTATCAGTGGGTGAGTTATGCATTTAGAAGAAATGAATTTGGTGTAATGCAGGTTACTCCTATGGATGTAATGATGTCAGGACTAATAGCTATTGACAACATAGTGATAGATGTTTGCAGTCAAGAGGAAAACAGTATCCACATGGCACTTAACAACATACAGGATATTCTAGAGACGAACACATCCGTGATAGTTAGTTCCTGGATGAAGTGAAGTCATAGGTGAACAATAGTAGCGTGCATTACAACCTAATAATTAGTGCAGTAAGAAATGCTTCATGAAAAATCTGAGATCCACAGAATGCTACTGGTAGATTTTGGATGAAGATGTCCAGCGCTCAAAATACCAGTTACTGAGAGGGAAAATAGTACTCCTCAGAACGAATACATGACAAAAACCCAAGCATAATTACATTCAGTTCTACGAATGCCTGCAGCATACGAGAAACTTCGCTCCAGTGAAGAAGTGCTCAATGAAAGTCAGTCTATCAGAAATCCCATGCGCAAACACCGAGCTTACATAATGTATAGACTGACGATCTTGAAATATGTGAGGAGAATCACTCATCCCTACTATTCGGAGATAGAATTGCGACAAACTCATGCCATCATTCATATTTTACCCTTTCACCAATGGTCTTAACATCAGCTGAACACGCCTCAGAATCCAACCACCGTTTTCGAGTCAGTTCGGAAACATATAATGTCGGTCAGGACGTTGTCCTGATATCATTGGCCAAGGTCAATCAATAGAAGACACTATGCTGAACATCTCACTAAATAACTGTGTACCGTTTTGTGTCCTAATTACAGGAAAGTGGGATTATTCGGAGAAGTTTGGGAATTTTGAAGTGACCCATTTCTCATTGTCATGCGTGACAATGTTGCCTTCATCGACTAAATGAAGTGCTGCAAAACAGTCTATGTAGTACAAATTCCTGAAGTATTTTATTCGCGATCAATGATATTTTAGTAAATAATGACCCTAAGTAATAGACTTAAGTATCGTGACATTTTATGATCAATACTGTGACTAGGAGTTCGCAGTGAAAATATGAGAAGAACAACATTTTACGGCATAAACCGATGAGGTTGTTTTATTCGAGTCATTGTCAAATTTTGGAGGATTCGATAGCTTTCAAATCAGTCTCCACTACGGTGAATTGTATAACGTCTATACTCCTACTTTTGTTCCTAATTATCCAGAGAGTTTTGGTTCGACTTGTAGTAAGTCATGTGGATATTTTAAAATTCCTACAAACTGTGGTGATATATTAGGATATCTAACAGCGTCATACGCAGCGCATACTATTATATGAGGACTGCGATGATTAGATTAGCAGTGTCATTCAGGGCCATGCTGAAGACTGTTGTGAATGAGCATTTTTACTGCAGAGCTGGATCGGATTGGCCATCCTGTGCTATTCCTACACATAACATAGTTCAGTTGGAGTGTGGATCTGGCAGCAATACACCTCAGAATTAAAAAACCTTCAAATAGATATATACAGTTTCCTACATCCTACACTTTTAGTCAATGAATGCATCACACTTAGCGAATTAGATAATTATTGTCCTGTATTGACTCAGTTATGTCCAGTGTTTTGACTTTTCTCCAAAGGTTATGGTCAACATTGAGCTTGATGAATTGGCAACGTTAAACAAAGCTATTCCCCTCTTCCACTTATGATTTACTTCAAACAACTGAGTGTTCTATACAACAGTGCGAGTTGTCGACTACGAAACTAGATTCACTAAACAACAAGTTTCATGAAATAAATGATATTGCCACTTCTCACGTATGTGTGTGGCATTTCCAGAGAAATCTCTCTGCATGAATGGGCAGACCAGACAGATTCCCATGACCTGTTGTATGAGGCCGGACAATGCAGTTGACATTTGCTTCACAGGAACGAGCTCCCCATTACCCAGTGTGGGCCTTACAATTTCACCACGAAGATCCAGTTTTATGATTTGAGTTGACAGGTGAAATTGGACGATAAAGCATCGTGATCCAATCACTAAATTGGTTTGATGATCAGAGTCATCTTTAGAGTGTAACTAGAGTACTGGAAGATTTCTCGGATTGTTGTAAAGTTCAGAGGTCTGCATTAAACAACCCAATCCGAGTGAAGGTATGGTTAGGAGTGTCCTTTATGAAGTTAGGCTGTAGTTGTATAGTTCGACTGCACACTGAAGACCAGTAGTTCAATTATCCGGGAATTTTAGCAGATTTAGAAATTTCACATCTCATTATATATCCAAAAGACAGTATTATGCGTAGGCAACTGATTTTAATTCCTGTCTGATTACTATAGGCAGGGGTTCTCACCTTGATGATCAACGTTTGTAAATACTTCTAGTCTACTCTCCAATGAGAAAATGGAAAGCAGGACTCCTGCGTTTTCCAGAACACGGCACAGACTATGATTACTTCTTGGCATTCGTGAAATGAATGCCAGTATCATGAATATTATGATGTGTCGTATTCCAACTAGTCAACTGCAGTTGTGGCACAGAAGTTGTATTGATCAACAATAATTCAGTTGTGAGTCACAGACCGACTGAAATGAGGGCAGCTTTCATGAAGTTCTATTTGTAAATTCGAAGTTCGTCTATATTTTTGTGTGTACATTATCATGGAAACACAGTTTAACACAGTTATTAACACAGCTCTCAACTGACCGACACCTTGCAGAGTTGGTTGAATTCAAATGTTTTTGTTTGTCGCTTGCTCTTCGGAGGTGATCAACCAGTTGTCACTGGTTCCAGTTACATATTTGTAACCTTATAGCATATTCCATGACAGTGTATTTAAACTGGAGGTTTCGAGAATTCTTGTTGCCATAACACGATTAACTATTTATCAGTGACGAGGAGCAACTAAACTGACGTAGCTAATCAAATCAATAGATGAACACATTTGAGAATTCGGAACACAGTGGACTATGCAGATGTTTATGATTCTTATACAACTATCTGGAACATCTGCGTTTGATTGAGGAATATGCTGGAAAGTAAAGCACTACTTATCACCCATAAGAGATGCATTTGCACAAAACTCATCACTGCATTCCTTCCATATAACTATTGTTTGTCATGGACAACTAAAGCGAGGAAAGGGATTTTATTACGATTTCAGAGAGATTCGCTTTCAAATGCTTGTTGTTATTTGATGAATTCACTAAACTGCAGTATTTGCGGAAAGCTGTTTCACTTGCCTTATTCCATTTTCCGTTGCTTGTTTCAGTAATAGACAGTGTAATAATGTAAACCATTCATTTCACACTAAGTTTAAGTATTTTATGACCAGCTTATTTCCAATAATCCATGCATATGAATCTACATGCCCAACTAAAATGACCGCCTAATTAACACACACTCAACAATATACACTTCTCCGTTCATTTCAGTTTGACCTTATACAGATGGCTAAGAAGTTGCATTCTCGATTTCTCCAATCTTAAAGAACTCTTCTTTCCTAAACGCTTCTACGAACAGAAACCGTTTGATTTGCTAAGTCTCCTGAAACTTCTGTGATGAAGATGATATTGAAGTAACCATGTTGATCTGTTCTGGCCTCACATATTCTCTCAATGCTGTCAAAAATTCTGTCCTTATGCTAACTCATGTATATGTTATGCGTGTTGGAAATAAAAGCACACATTTTACCTTGTTTGTTTTCAAATATAAGATCTTAGTGTGCGTGTTGGAAATAAAAGCACACATCTTTACCGTGTTTTACTTTCAAGAATTATTTGCGAAGTTTTGTGATGTGAAGAAATTTCGTCGATGTATTAACATCTGGCTTTACGGCATAAAGTGTGTTCATTGTATCTATTTCGTTTCTCTGAGTACACGTGAGCAAAACAAGTCACATTATTTTGCCAATTATTCACTATTCTCCTACCTGGAATACATTGAATGAGGTTGTTACTGTGGTTTCCGTTCACCTGAAAAACTGAATTTGAAGAGTAGAAGCGGTTATGAAGAAGTCAGACACCTAATGAAGAGACTACTACAGAAATTCTTGAAAGAATACTCGACAATATTCAAAACGAACAACGCGATTGAATCAAAGTGGTGGTTTTAAGAAAGGTTCTTAAAGTAAAGTCGCCGGCTTGTACTCATAGTTGAGGCACAGAGGTCGTTGTCTGACCACAGTACACTATCCGTTGCAGAAACTTACTTGATAACTACATACTTAATCCATATGAACACAAATATCATGGTTCCATCAAATAAACTAATGTGAAGAAGTGAACGTTGACTTCAGACAATCCTCTGTAGATTCAATTGTTTTGAAATCAACTTGTTCATCATTACGAATCTCAGGTTTTGGGGCATTTGAACCAGTCGAAATGAATGTGAGTATTCGCTTTTCAGTGGGGAGGTTATGTGAACTCTGGAACAGCTTATGGTTGAAATGTGATGATGTACATAGTGTTGTAGTAGACGTTGTCAAACCAGTAAATAATGATCATGATGAATAGGGTGAATGTAGTGGGAAGACATGTAGTCATATAACTGACGGTTACACATAGAATGTGTTTTCACTGAAAGCTGTTTCTGCTATCTAGAGTGAATTTCATTTGTCGAATTTAGTCAACTTGAAACTTCGAAATTGCATTTCAGTCTGCTAGTGAATTCACCAGCTACAATCTGACTCCGTGTTACGTGTGAGATTACAAACATTCACTGAAATGTCTCCAATTCTTGTTGATTTTAAGAACAACTTTGAAATTCTGAATAGGAGTTCCTCAGAAGAAATATTCAACCTGTACTTTGCCACGGTTTCCGATTTGTGTATCCCTTATCAACATTTGTCGTACTGAGGTACATGCTGCATAACAACTTCACAAGTGCAGTTGCATGGCTCAGGGCAGTGAATTTGTTGGTGGAAATCGTCTGTGTCTGCATATTGGTTGCTGAGAACTCCATTCACATTTGTTGAGAAGGTCAGTGCAAGTTATCAAATGAGAATTTTTCATGCAACTTGATTATACAACCAATAAACACTATCCTTCAAATTCTTTAACAAACACTGACCTTCCTGAAACGATGTCATTTGTCGAATAAGTGAGTGAGCCAGTGCAACAATGAATGCGATTATTTTTCGGACCGTCTCAACATCATGATTCATGCCTATATTACTGTTTCACTTCGTTTAAAGTATCCATTTCAATGGACCTCTGTTACATGTACCACATCAAATGCAAGCAACCAGTCAGTTGTTTTGCAGATGTTTTCGTGTAGATTTCCCAAATGCCCATCTCCAAAACTGACTATGAATATGAAGAAACAACAATGAACATAGGTTGATCATTTCCGATAGGATGACATATTGCTTGCTACTTTCACCATATATTTTCCCAGAGTGAAGTGATAGAAATTTGAAAACTTCAAATTTCTGCATTGTTGTTTTATACTGAATGTAGTAAAAGTTTTGAACCTGTCTCTAGTCCATGAATGATATTGACTAACTTCACTGTGGGTGCGAACTCGTGAGGGAGAATATGCATATAAAACGTAAGTCAGTGAATGACAGGCTGAATATCTCGTAATGTTTTATTGAATGTAGTGCAATAGAATGACACCGACTATGCACTTTCTCTGCAAAATCAGCTATCAAGCTATCAAACTTCGACGTATTGAAACACGAGTTTAACTGTAAACCACGATTTGAACCTTTTGTCATCCACGTAGTCGCCACCACTGACACGTTCGATTGCATGAGTTAGGTATATTCACCAAATCCCTCGCATAACTCTGACTCTCGAAATCCACTAATCACAGTCTACAGTATTCTTCACTCTGTCCGATACTCAACTCAGACAAACGTTTGTCACCACGGTTTTCAGAAATTTATGAATATTCACATGACTGAGAAGAAGTGGAACCACAGTTATCAGGATAGTCAGGAATGAATATAAAATTGTAGACATCAAGAAATGGAACAGTAATGAGAACTGCTCTCAAACCTACAGAATCCTCACGAATACTGTCTGATTAGGAATAAACCTCTTTGATTAGGTCTAAGCATCATGAGATTGCTACGATATTCTCGTTCAGGAATACGCGATCCAAGTAACGTGGTAATATTTTCTACCACGGAGACAAGGTAGTGATTTTCTCACTAATAATATTGATCACTAGCACATCTAGAAACTAATGTAACTGGAATTATTTGCCACATGAATCTCAACACTTTCTCATTTGATGACTCCATATCTAATCAAACCATTATTCACGATTTGCATGTCGTTGCTTTCTTGATAACAAGCCTTATCACTTTGCTTTCAAGAGTTCAGAAACACAAACCCACTCATTTTGAATCCTTTCTTTGAAACTGAAATTTAAGAGAAATTATGTTGACTTTCCCAATTAGGCAATTTGTTTCGGATCACCAGTTAAGAAGTGGAAATTCTCCTTTAAGATGTCGGATTACTGTGTTGAACAACAACTGATGCATCGAAACATTCTTGGTGGATATATGCATGATTTGTTTCCAACATCAGTCACTCCATGCTTCAAGAGGTCAAGGGGAATTCGGTATCGATTGGTGACCTGTGAATTTCTTGGATTCCAAAAGATAAAAAGTTCATCAATCGGATGTACAATTTGGCCAGTGAAATGAGTGGTGCGACTTTGCAGTCTGCTTCATTTAAGGTAGGAGTGACGAGTCTATTAATAGGAAGATTAGGACATCAACACTTTTACATGCTGTCGTTGATCAGTGAGGTGTATTAAATTACCATTAGCAGTGGACACAATCTCACATGTGGGAAATTTCATCTTGCAGTGATAGTATTGAGGGTAAACCCAGTTTGGAACTGTTGTTGATGTAAGCTGCATGTTGGGTGGTAACCTAGATGTTGGTGAATGAATTCGAAGAAGCATGTGCAATCGAGTGTGTTATTACACCCTGAAGAGTGAAAAGTAACACAGAATGTGTAAGCATGCTACAGATGTGTAAATAAAATTATTCTGTGAGATGTATTCGTGAATGACTTCATTAAAAACAAGATGTGGCACAAATTAGTATTCTGTTATCCCACAGGTCCAATGGTGATAAGGTTAAGTGAAACTCAGGCATGAGCTGGATAATGAAGAATGTGTGTAGCACGAGGTATTTTTCCACGCACTTCTCTCGCATTCGTTTTAAGTATTTCTAAACGAAACATTCCACATTTTGTAGACCACACTTGAGTTTCAGAGTAGTGTTAATTATTTACTTTCAAGACATCACACTGGCTAACTCAAGCCAACCATTTAAGGCTATCGGACTGTGTGTACAATGTTTGAATAAGAAGAAAGCTCACCTTCTCCAAGCTTTACCTCGGTGTCTGAAATTTGAAGGAGAAAACAAGAAGCTTTCATATAGTTCAAATAACATTTTCCTGATAACCATGAAGTATCTGCCAATCGAGAGAGTGAGATATTCCATTAAGGTCAAAACGTATGCCATGTGTCAGTCTCCAGTAAATAAGTCTGCTTTCAAAAACCGTCGAAAGATGAGGATGGGAATGGTGGTCATTGACTAAGTTTTCAAGACATTTTCCAGTCATGGAGACAGGTTCAAAATATTCCAGAGAACAGAGTGGAATGAAGAAGTGCTACTGAAGCCCCATGTTCAACTACGATCCCAAGGGACGAGTAATAGCAATAATAAAAATAATAATAATAATAATGATCTCATTTCCTACCTATGCATAGTTCTTTCACAGCAAACCCATTTCTTCTTCCGTGCAACTAAACGAAGTATTAGTATCAGTCTACTGTCGTTAAACCATAGATGATAAATTAGCATAAAATTATCGGATAGATTCAAAAGAACATCATATATTGAAGTGTAATAAATTAACATAATTCTGATTACTATGCGTGTATTGCGGTAATCCTAATAACTTATGCTGGAATAAGAGTATACCATCATTTCGGTCATGCATTCGCAATAACCGATTTTGCATGCTGAATGAATGAGGCATTGGATTTCGTTTTACTAAGTCCCCATGTCAACTTATTGTGTATGAGCTGTGTAACAGAGTTGCACTTCAGTCGTCTGTGAACTGAATATTTCGAACGTAGTTATGTTGTTATTTATGTTTGTAATGGGGAATTGAAGTGGAAAACGGTTCACCATACTCATGATTAACTTCTGAGAACAAATATGTCGGAGAAATATTTATGAGAACTGTTCCTTATAACCATAATATCTGAAACAGTTTCATCAATTTGATCTGTTTCGCATTTTGAGCTAGCTGAAACCAACATCTTACGATGGTTATCATATATCCATTCCTGAAAGACCAATTGGTTTACTGTAACAGCCTTGAAAATAGCAACTTCGTTTAGCTTTAGACACACGTAACTTGATAATTCAAAGATGAAGGGTACATAGTTGGCAAATTTCTCAATGAGAAAGATAAAATTTGCATTTGGACTAAAAATAGGAAGTACCAATGAGCATTTATTGAGGTTGTGTAAAGTTGCAGATTCTTTATGCACTCGTCAGAAGTACTTAGGGTGGAACTTATTTCATATGAATTACATTCAGCTTCACCCACTTAATTATCCGGGTACATAAACTGAGTGCACAATGAGACATAACCTGGCCTTGGTGAACTTCTAATAACGTTTTTAACATCGGCTCTCGATAG